AGACCAGCGGGGCGGGGCGCGGGCCCGAGCTCTGCCGGCTCTGCTGCTGACGCGCGCTGGCTCTTGGACCTGGCGACAGAGCCAGTGACAGTGACCGCCTGGGTTGGAATCCCAGCTCTGCCGCTCACCGCTGGGCGAGCCGGCGGGTTCCTCAGCCCCTCCAGGCCGCGGTTTCACAGGCAGCAGCATCAGCACGCGAGGGGGAACCTGGCCCTCGCGCCCTCTGTGGGAGGGTTAAACGAGTCGGTTCACCTGGAGCCGAGACCGGGGCGGACGTGCCCGTGAGCCCAAGCTGTCGGCTGTTTCTTTTTTAAAAAGCATTTTTATTTATTTATTTTTTGGGGTTAGAGAGATGATTAGGTTTATTTACTTATTATTTTTTAACTGGAGGTACTGGGGACTGAACCCAGGACCTTGTGCACGCTCAGCATCCGCTCTACCGCTGAGCTGTACCCTCCCCCCGACGTTAGCTGGTCCTATGAGAGCAAGTCGCTTCCCCTCTCCGGGGTTCCGGACCATCACCCGCAGCGTGCGAGCTTCGGAGAGACGGTCTCTCTAGGTGCTCCACTCAGAGGTTCTTAGAAATCTGATGCTAATTTCCATGCTATTTTATGGACCACTTGCATGTCATTTGCTAACTACTATTTTTTTAAGGCCTGGCCGCATCACAGTCCTCTTGCTGGATTGAGCTTACTTCCAGTGATGCTAGGAATTGGGGGGGGGGGTCCTTCACTTGTTTTTGCTGCAATTCCATTTCTCTCTGCCTCCCACGTGGGCTTTATTCCTTCTGGGATGTTTACACAGTAGTTCAGTAACTTAACTGATTAAAAAATTCTCCCATAAATTTCAACACACTGGCAAGGGATCTCTGTAGCAGAAACTTAAAAAAATGGAATTGCAGGGTTTCTGTTTGGAGACCAAGTACCTGGGAAAGATACCGTTTAACTAAGGGTCCGCCAATCACAGACACTCACGGGTGGCCCTCCCCGCCTATGGTCCCAGACGCCCACAAGGCTCGGGGCGCCCGCCTGGCTTCTGCCCTGGCCCCGGGGCCCCACCCGACGGTGCACTCCAGCATCCCTCCGGTCTCCAGAACGCACGGTGCACGGCGACCGTCAGTGCTGGGGGCCAGCTGGTGCTCGTACTGGACAGACAGCGGTTTCAGAATGAAAACTGAAGCCAGGGATCCGGGGTCTCTGGGCACCAGTGACCCAGACTTCGCTTCCCCAGCTGGGTGGTCAGCTCCACTAGGACCCTGGGGAGGAGGGAGCTCAGGAAGATGGACGGGAGTGCACATGCCGCTGTTCGCAGGCCCTGCGACCAGAGCCTCAGGTTTCTTACCTATAAAATGTGGGCTGGTACCTTTGTTTTGATGAACAGATGGCAGTATGTGGCTTTATAAATTACTTCTTATCCTGCCAAGTAACGTGCGTGTGTATTTATCTGGCTAAATAAATATGGGGCTGCCGTTCAGTCCCAGGTCCGGGCAGGTCCAGTCCCAGCGCGTCCACTGCGCTGCTCGGTCAGGGAGGAAGCACGGGGTGGGGGGGGCGTTGTAAGGGTCTCCCCACTTCTCCCTCTCCCCCGGGGATCGTTTACTTATCTCCTAATGAGTGCAGCTTTGTGACCTGTGAGTGAATCCTGTCTTAGCGAGTCTCCCTTCCCTGTGGTCTGTGACCACGAAGCCTGGGGAAGGACATCGAGAGCGGCCGGAGCCCCTGCCTGGGCGCCGTTCCTGCCACCTGACACTCAGCGGAGCCCTCCAGGCTGGTCTTGGCCGCCTCTGCCCCGGCTGCCCCCTGCCTGCATCCCCCTTCCCCGCAGCCGAGGGTGGCCAGGCTGGCAGGGTCCCCTGGTCCGCGCGGACGTTGTCCAGCGCGGGCTTGTCCTTTTCACCCCGATCCTACCCCGCCTGGTCCCCTGAGCGCAGTCTTAATGTCCGTCGCATGGAAGGTCGAGGAAGCTGCGGGGCAGAAAGAACGGACTTCTTTCAAGGCCTCTCGGCAAAGCAGCTGTGCAGCCAGAGCCAGAACCCGAGAACTCCGGTTCCTCGTCCGCAGCGTCCCGTCGAGTCAGGTCAGCTGGGCTTTCTTTGCTCCGGGGGGCGGGGGTGCAGGGAGGCCGTGCCTGGCTGGGCCGGGGCAGCATTTCCTCGGGCACCGCCTTCCGCGCTGCTCCGGGGCGAGGATGCTCACCGCGCGCCCGGCTCATGGTTGAGGCAACAGCGCCACCTCCTGGCCTCGATGCCCCGGCCCTGGCCCGACTTGGGAGGTCTCGGGCGCCCTCTTGTGGGCATTCGGAAGATGCAGCGAAAAGCGACTTGGTTACCCGCAGGTGGCCGAGAAGCATGCTGTCCTCGGGGACTTTCCACCTTTGAGTCCCTGTGTGCGCCTGCACTGGAACCAGGCCGAGAAAGCAAAGCTTTGTAGTAGCTTAGGATGCAGACCATCAGAGGCAAATGATGTAACAAGTTGCCAGCCACAGGGGACATGGCATGATCCCCGGTGACAAAATGTCCATACGGCTCCTCCAAGTGGCATATACGGCAGTGACAGCGGCGATGGTGGTGAGGAAGGAACTTCGCAGAATAATGGAGAGGCGTTGGGAAGCAAAAAGAGGTGGAGGGAAAGAAAGGGCTGCTGTTTCTGCACGCACAGCCCTCTTCCAGCACCGACGTCACTGGCGGAGCCATTGAAGACCAGCGGGCCGCCGTGTAAACAGCCTCTCCCCAGAGCAGAGCACACCTCCCGTGACCCTCTCGTCTGAGCTGCAGGCACGTGCTTGGCCCCGAGTCTCCCCCCGCCCTGGTCGTGTCGTGTCATTGACAGTCACCAATGTCTCCATCTGGAGCTCAGCCTCCTCCCGTATCGGCCACATGAGAGCCTCAGGTTCTTGGGAATTCGAGTCCAGCTTGAAATACATGTCCCTGAACAGCTTACTTTGTTTGGGGACAAGTCGCATGCCGATCGGTCCTGCCAAGAGCTATCGCTGTTGAACCACTGGTTTTCACTGCTGTCAAACACGATCTTGCACAGAGAGCCAGGGGCAGTCACCCTTGAGGGCCAGTCTGGGGAGAAGGCTTTTGACTGGCTGGGACTTTCTTAGAACCATCTGGGAAGTGTTTTTAAAAGGCACATCCAGAATGGCCGATGGGGTTCATGGTGCAGCTGAATGCCTTGCCTATCGCCCCGGATGGGCCCTGTCCACTCAGTGGCCTCAGCCAGCCCTGCCGGTGTCCAGGAGAAGGCGGCCAAGGCCCGGAGGCCCAGGCACAGCTTGCTTGGGTTTCCTCTATTCCAAATGCAGGCGGCCCGGCAGGGTTCTGCCTCACACGCCAAGGTCGGGAGAGTGCAGCTACTCGTGCAGGTCAGGGCTACTGAAGGGGCTGTGGGCAAAGTCAGGACAGAGGCTTGCTTTCCAGTCACGCCTCTCAAAACACCTGGACGCGTGAAGAGCTGAAATTTAAGCTGCTGGCCTTGTTCTTTTTTTTCTTTGGTTTTTTTAAATTCTACTAGAAATTACTTGAATGTAAAACCAGTAGGAAACTGACAGCTTAGACTCTGTTCAGATGAACTGTCACACCAGACCTGGTTCTCGGAAGAGCTGTCAGAAGCCAAGGATGTTAACTCTGCAAGTGTTCACTGCAGTCACCCTCCCTCCCTGGGGCTCAGTTTCCCATTCTGCACAGGTGGGGGCTGACCACCTCTCAAGCACCTGTATCGTTCTGTGCTCCTTGATTCTTTAAAAGGAAGCCTTACGTCACGCCGTGGGCGACTGCCTGTCAGCTCACCACCCACAATGGTCCTTTACAGAGAAACGTTCATACGTTCAAACGTTCCCTGTGGGCACCCAGGGCGAGCGGGGAATACAGCGAGGCCCCCCGCCCCGGGCGTGCTTCTGGGGGTCAGTCACACACGAGAACTAAAAATGCGTGGGGAGCTGTGACACACCGCGGTGTGACGCGACGTGGGCAGTCGGCTAGTAGGAAGTGCTGGGAAGAAGAACAAAGCAGGACAGGGATTATGAGATGAGGGAGGCTATTTTTAGACAGGATGGCCAGGAAAGTCCTCTCTGACAAGAGAAGCTGGCATTTGGTGAGACGTTGGATGAGGGAGTGAGCCCGGACCCCCAGGGCAGACCCCCCGGCAGAGGAGCTGCTGTGCACAGGCCGGATGCACAGGTGCCCACCAAGCGGGGGGCGTGGAGGCTGCGGGCAGGAATGAGGCTGTGTCACTGGATTCCAGCTCAGGTGTCCCTGCCCAGGGTGACCTTCTATAAGAGTCAACGTCATGAGCTCTGGGCACCGGGGAGGTAGGACACTGTCTCCGTGGGGCAGCACCCTCGAAGGTCACACGGCTAGCAGGAAGGGACAGTGGCAGGAGCTGTGCTGGGACCGGGCGGTGGTGCAGACACAGCTCTGGAGGGGCCCCAGGGCCCAAGGCTGGGTGCGCCCACCCTTGCCCAGCAGGAGGCACGGAGTCTGGACCAGGAAGAAAGGCGGGGGCGACAAAAGATGGCCCTTTGTTCACGGAGGGAGTCAGCACAGGAGAGCAGGTGCAGCGGGACCCGCTGGGAAAGGGCTCATCTCGCCGCGGAGCCGCGGGAGGTGAGCGGGCCCCCAGGCTGGCCGAGGGGAAGGCCCGGCCCGCCTGGGCTGCGAGAGAAGGCCCTTCAGCCCGAAGACTGGTGCGGCCTGGTGGCCTGCCCCCACGCCCCGTCGGCTCGACGCCATTGCCCCCGGGGCCAGGCCTAAGGAAGGCGGACTGCTCTGCCCTTCCGAGGCGCCCCG